AAATTATTTTTGTTTGAAATAGCTACAGGTTCTTTCGCATGTATTGAAATGTCCAATAGAAGTTATTCAGGCATCAGGTGTACCATATATTATTGGTGACGACTATAACAATGAAAAAAAAATGATATTGACTTATCATCGTCATATGTATGAATTAGGTGCTCATTACAATTCTGTTACAAAATATGTTCAAGAAGAAAGCTGATAGATCTTATATCTGGCTAATATCTACAAAAGAGAAGTTAAGCATGTTTCATAATACTTTTTACCATAAAATACATAAAAAGCTGCCACAGTATAAGTGTCCAGGAAACATATCAATTTTAAATTAATAGTTCAACGTTTCTCTGGCAATTTTAACTAACATATACTTAAAAGTCTGTAACTTTTGTTCAGTAGTAAATGTAATCTAAAATAACAAAAGTTAATGGGTCTTCCTTTATAGTTTTTTTGTAAATGATTATTGCACTATTATAAAAATTTTATTTATTTATTACTTAAATATTTGACAATATAAAGAAGCTGCCAGCAAATTGCAAGTACATATTACTGTTCAGTGCTTGCTTGCTCCCAAGTTTTAATGTAAATATCTATTTAAATATAATTTGTTTTTTGTAATAAAAATTTAATTTATGATGAAAATTAAATAAATGTTAAGGCGATATTATTGCAGTAGAAAAATTAAGATTGTGTGTATGTGTGAATATACGCTAATACTTTTCTCATGTGTTCTCATAGTTTTGTACTATTTTAATGGTAAGTAACATGTATAAAATATGAAATAAAAATGATGAACTAAAATCATTTGTTTTTGAAAGCATAATTTGTTTATTCTTTAGTACTGTGAAAGAATAGGAAGTAACAGTAGTAAATTTTCATTTTTCCACATGATTTACATTATCATTTAATGTTTTATCATCTTCAGATACTCCTTGGTTTTTATTAGGATTATCTGGTTTCATTTGCGGAAATAGCAATACTTCCTAAAATATGTTTTTAATGATATTCTATTGTTTATATATTTTTATTGTTATAACTTACCTTGATATTATTTGAATCTGTAAGTAACATTGTAACACGATCAATACCCATTCCCCAACCAGCAGTTGGTGGTAAACCATATTCCAATGCGGTACAGAAATTTTCATCAATGACTTGAGCTTCTTCATCTCCAGCTGCTTTATCCTTTGCTTGTTCCTCAAATCTATATGTTTATGATATTAAACCAACTTTTAAAATCATATTCCAACTTCGATACTACTTAGGTGAATTACCTTTCTCTTTGTACTACAGGATCGTTCAGTTCTGTATATGCATTGCAAACTTCTTTTTTCATAATAAATAATTCAAATCGTTCTGTTAATCCCGGTTCAGAACGATGCCATTTTGCTAGTGGAGACATAATTTGTGGATGATCCAAAATGAATGTAGGATTGATACAAGTTTCTTCTATAAATTCTCCAACAAGCTGTTAAGGATTTTTTGAGAGATATATGTTATACAAAGGATCCTTAAATTTAAAAATCATATTACCTTATCTAGTAATCTAGCTGTTGTTTTTGGTGGCGGACATTCAATCTCATATTTGGTACACAGATCACTAAGTACTTGATTTGTTGCTGGGGTGCTTAACTCTGATGGGGGTAATTTAATTTTTAATATTTCTTCTAAAGTTTTTATCATTGAAATTCGTTTAAATGGCGGAGTGAAATCAATTTCTATTGCTTCACTCTCTGGACCTTCTGGGTGATATGTTATTTTGTAACTACCATAAATAGCTTTTACCATTCCTGAGACCATATCTTCTGTAATAGATATCAAATCATTATAATCTGCATAAGCCATGTAAAATTCACAAGTAGTAAATTCTGGGTTATGTGTCAGATCTATTCCTTCATTTCTAAATTGTCTTCCAATTTCATACACTCTATCCAATCCACCTACTACCAACATCTACAATCATATATAAACAGTATTAATATATAATTCAGAAACAATAATCATTTATGAATCTAAAATAATTCTTACTTTATGATATAATTCTGGAGCAACGCGCATGTATAAGTTCATACTTAATTCATTATGATGTGTAATGAAAGGTTTAGCTGTTGCACCACCAGGAATCACATTCATCATTGGCGTTTCAACTTCTAAAAATCCAAGTTCATCGAGAAATTGGCGAACATATGCGATTATTTTCGCTCGTATTTCAAACGTTTTTCTTACTTTGTTATTTAATATAAGATCTAAATAACGCTGACGAAATCTTGTTTCCTAAGTTAATAAGATAGTATAATTGTCATTATTTTAAACTATATATAACAGGATAGGATTGCACTTTTTGTACCTTATCTTTTAATCCAAAGTAGAGATTTGGCAGCATATGTAGGCAAGGACTCAAAAGAGTAATACTATGTGGTATAATAGAAAATTCACCCTTTTTAGTTTTTCCAGGATTTCCAACTACACCAACAATATCGCCTCTTTTTATCTTAGATGTATCGTTCGCAAATTTTTCTTGATCTTTATATTGTCTTGCATTTGCCATAACTTGAATCTTAACACCTTCTCCTCTGAGGTCATAAAAAATTAATTTAGCACCTGATCCTCTAATTGCATGTACACGGCCAGCTACACTATATACTTCATTGTTTAGTATTTCTCCAGGTTTCAAATTATTACTGAATTTTTCAATAAAGTTTTCCAATGAAATTGATACGTGAAATTTATGTGGGTATGGATTATCATCTGTATCTTTGAGATGTTTGACTGCTTGAGTCCTAAGTTTATTGTACTCCTGAAAATTATTAAATATCTGAAGTAAATACAATAATAACATAACTTTATATATTTAAATATATATTTAATTAATAAGATTCTCGATATTATAGTAATATATATGCTTACATTTGGACTGATATCCTCTTCTTTATTCTCCTTTTTTTCCTCAGCTTCTGTCTGATCTTTCACTGCTGCTTGGGTTAATGCTTTTGCTTCTTTCTCTGCTTTCTCTTTTAATTTCTGATCAGCTTTTAAGCGTCTTTTTATTTCACTGCAATCAAATTTGAAGACATGCGAATCATAGATTCTATTTCTCATATTAGCGAACATGATCTTCTTTAAGACATACGCACTTTATATGAAAATGACGTATAGGTATCTGATGTAATTTTGTTGTTTTTGTTTTGTAAATTACCGGCAATACCATATCAACAAAAACTTTGGTTATGTTATATAGCATAGTTAATTAAAAATATTATTGCTATTAGGCTTGTATATATGTATATATATACACACAGTAAATATATTTATTTGTGAATATTTAAAAAATATTATTATTTATTGTTTGAAAATGTTACATCAGTATAAACAATTATCCGTAAAACAACGTGGTGAGACAGAATATATCATTTATTGCTGTATCCACATAGGTTATGTTCAAATTATCAGTATATATAATAAAAGCTATTCTATAAATATAAAATAAAAAATTTGAGAATCCAATTTTCTGTTAGTACTATTATTTTACTCACTTTTTTGATAATTTTTCTTCCATATTGTCAGCCATGTTGGTACACTTAAAAAAGATTCTCACTTTATATATTTATGGTTGGTGAACCTGCAAGGTATTCAACTGCCAAACGATCGTTTTATATTTTTCATTCCGCGCGTGATTTTTAATTTTAAATATATTTTTCTTTCGTTTAACATAATTCATCTTAAAGATTGTATTTCGCTATTCTAACCGCATTTTAAATGAACATAAATGTGAATAAAAATCGTCTTTCTATATTATTGTCTTACAATGCAATATTTGAAATGTGTTTCTTTGACAACCATATTTGTTGATTGTGCATTTAATATCAGTTGCTTGTATCTAATCTCAATTTGAAGAACGCTTGCGTTTAATTTAAAAAAATGGACGGCTGCTTTGGTTATCACGAACTGAAAGCATTGGAGGAATTAATAAATCCTACGAAAAATGATTCAGATTCCGAGGATGATTTACCACAGGCTGGTGCTCGAAAACTTGGTAAGAGTTAAAAAGATTTTAGGGTGTAATTGTTTTCTCCCATACTTGTTCGATATTTGATATAGGCATACAATAGAAGGGTTTCCTGTTTCTAAAGGAATTACTTTATTGTAAAAGTAATATTGAGAATGTAATATGGAAAATATTAGGAGAATGATTTAAAACTGATAATAATATTATTATTATACGTGTATGTATGCGTGTATATGTATGATTAACGTATTTTTATTTGAAACTTGCTTTTCACGTAGACAAAATGGCGGGCGATTTCGCATAGTGGGATTTATTCATTTAATCATAGTAAAATAGTTTTTGCAGCAGTATGCACGATGAGTAAGATAAATGCTTTTAAGGACCTGGTGATATTGGTATTCAAAATGGAAAATCTCAAGACCATTTGGGTCCACATGCACCGTTGAAAGCGGAAGGCGATGATATTTGGCATCCGTCTGAAGCAGTCGTGTCGGAGAGTACGGAAGTCTACGATCCGAGAAAAGTTCCGGAATACGAGATGAAATTTAAGCAGGCAGTGACGGCGGAAGATGTTTTTTTGGGTGTTAGTGTCGCATTGACATGTACAATAAATCGTTTTCAAATCTGATTTACTTTACACATGTTCGCAGTACGAATTTTTTAATTAATCCTCTGTTATTATAGATAATAAATCGTTTAATATATTGTTATGTATATAATACACAATTTGTTATTTATAATAACGAAGGATTAATCAAAAAATTATAAATATATAAAATTATATATATAGTTGTGTATTATTATATATATAGTTATATATATATTATTATATATATAGTTGTGTAAAAAATTGGTTATGTTATATGCAAGTAGTTATTTTTAATTGTATCATTTTTAAGTTTCTTCTATAGAGAGATTTTGAATGTAATTTTCTTGTAATATTATGCGTATATGAAAACTTATTCTCTATCTCATGTTTACTATAGCTGAAACATGCTGATGGAACATTTTCGATTTTTCCTTGTATCTCCCATATTGCATGTAATTCTACCTATCGTGATTACTAATAACGAGCTTTCCATTGAATTAAATGACCCGTAATACAAGTTTGCTTCTAGCGAATTGCGCGGTTTTCCCGATATCAACCATTTTCCTATATTATTTGCAATTAAGTAATCACTCTCTGAATTTCTCGTTATGTGTTTGTTTTGCAAGAGATATGCCGCATTAAAGTAGCTCTTTAAAGAAGAAAATTTAACACATTTCTTGATAATAGAATTTAAAGTAAGAATGTTTATCTTTTCATTGCAAGCAACATATTCATGAAAATGTAGAGCTAATTCACATTTTCCTGTTGGAAATCAGATGGGCTTCAAAACTCCAGGGACGGCATCCTGCGAATGGTTATCCGTGTTGGTGAAGATGCCGCAGGAAGCTCGCGAGAAAATCGAGCTGTCCGTGGAAACTGAGACGATCGACGTGCGGAGCCCAAGGTGAGAGAGGAACCCGGCGATTTGTCAGGCAATCCCTTACGAACTTTCGTTGCTTTGATTTCCAACCGGGAATTCCTTTGACAATTTTATGAGTCCATAAATCTGTCAGAGCGTAAAATCAGTCATGATTTTCTAGGTATCGACTGCATCTCAAAACGCCACATTCAGTCGATCCTAATGCCTCGTCGGCTAAGTGGCACAGTGACACTTCCACGTTGGAGATCATCCTCAGGCTTGTGCGCGAGCTGGACGACGTGAATTTTTAATTTCAACGTAACGGTAGGCATTTTCGTTTCTGTAAAAACAACCAGAGGAACATCTGTGTTGAATGAATTTCAGCACTAGTGTATGTTACCGTTCGCAAAGTTGGAGTTGATTGTTGTTTTATCGAAGATGATTTACTTAATTTTGATTAAAAAATTGTTTTCATTTATTGTGATGATTGAAATGTAGAAGCAAAGTGTAACGTTATAAGTAGAACTTCATTTCAATAAATTCAATAAAAGAACTTTCAAAAAATTCAAAGAAAATCAGTATGTAACTCTTGTTAGTTGTTTGTGATTTTACAATTTGTTTAGTTTAGTGATTTGACAATTTGTAATTAGAATATAACTCAGTATATAACAGTATATAGCAGTATGATTTGACAATGTAATTAGAATATAACTCAGTATATAACAGTATATAACTCTTGTTTGCTATATCATTAGTGATTTGACAATGTAATTAGAATATTATACGATTGAGTTAACATTTTGTTAACTTACAAAATTGATTTATTTTTTTTTTTTTGCAATATTTCTATAACTTCAAATTTATGAACGGTAGCACATATTGTTTCTCTTTTTATTTTTTTTTTTTAGTAATTAAATTGTTTATTACAATTCTTTTACAAAATTCAGATTTCTATTTTCATTTTGATTTGACAATATAAGAATTATAACATGAGATGTAACTGTATATGAATTGTAAGATATCAGACGTTTGCCTGAATGTACGAAAATATCGTTTGTCTATAATATTTCTCTTTGCATCGGATTAAAGATTGGCGTTAAAGCAAATGAAGTTTGGAATTACATTCTGCTATTAATACAACGATTACGTTATTAGTTACATTGAAATATAATGAAATATAAATTGAGATATTCTTCAGTTATGATTCAGATTGACTGTTTTCATTATTCAAACTAAAAAGTGTATTTCAAATAATCGATAAAATATGAGAAATTCAAACATACTACTCCATATGTTTTAATATCAATATTTCGATATAAAACTTAGTGAAATTTATGCAAATAAAGGTGGAAATATACCGTTATTTATCTTTTCCATCCAAGTTTGTATATTTGAAAAAATGAATAAAGCTTGATATAAAAATGAGATGCGAGAATTTACAATGAGAGATTACAGAATCATATTTTGTTACGTTATTTCGGCATTTTAAAACAAATCGAAAAAGTATTTAAATTTTAATTTTTATTAAATTTTCCCGGTCAATGGAATCATTTATATCAATTAATTTCCCTCTCGAAAAATGATCGATTAATCTAGGTATAAAATAACACAACATCACAGTTTCATAGAATTTTATACAAAAAAAAAAAAAAAAAAATTGTAGTAATACTAAACTATTATACTATATTGTAACATCAGTTAAAATATATTATTTTACCATACAAATAATTTTAAATCTATCGATTGTACGTGCAACACGATATTCGCGCGAGGGAATATGTAAACAGAATAATAAATCAAAGAATTTTTATAACAAATGTTCCGTCTCTCTATTCGCGAAAAATATTCGTTTAGTTCTGCTCGCACGATTATTCGTGAAATTCTCATTACGTGCCGTCATGTGTCTCAGAGAAGACTCTTAAATGATCATTTCCATAATCTCAGGAACCGCTAGTGTCTCTTCAATGCGAATACAGACATTATTCAGGTCTGATTATACAGAGATGATAGTTCCGCGCTATGAAATCTAAAGTGGATCCATTACACACTAGGGGTGAAATGGTGAAAGATCATGAAAAATCATTGTACGTATATTTGTATGTAGAATTTTAGGAAAATGGGAGCTTAAAAATTCCCGGATTTATAATTTCTCTCGAGTATTCGCTGTACGCAGAATTTCTTGCGAAAAGACATCTCGCGAAGATAGATTATTTTTCTTGCCAGCTTGTTCTGTATTTTGTCGTTTCGGCTTATTTAGACACTGTTGCTATGGCTCGTTTCATGTAAAACAAGCTTCTCGAAAAAACTTGCATGTGTTCATCTTTTTCTTTACAAGAAAAACTTTCTTCAAACCGAATACCTTGACCAAAAAAAAAAAAAAAAAAAAAAAAAAAATGACAATAATAATCTCAGTCAACTTTATACGTACAAATTATTATGAACATTTGCAGAAAAATTAAATTTTCGTTTCATTTTAGTTTCTCAAGAATTCCACGTTTGTTTCTATCGTGGAGCAACACAGCGTGCCCTGTTGCTTGGTAGCCTTGAAAGTATCGTGAATCTCTTTGTAAATTCGGCGAGTGCTTTCAACGATCTTCTAACAGGGAAGTTAAGGCTTTGCCGGATCGTGCATCTATCCGTGGATTTATTTCCAACTGTTCGAAGAAGCTACGAATGTAAAAGTTCCGCCGCTGTTAAGCGCGATTGTAGATCTGTCTGCGAACTTTCCAACGAAAGTTTTCCCCACGGTATCTCTTTCCCGTCATTCGTTATTGGTTAAAGCAGCAATTAAAGGGATTGAGCTTCGATCGGATTGTACAAGATGATACCGAAGAATTCCTTAATTTCCGACGATTATAGGCAACAAGTAGGGCAGATCTGCTGAAGATCTATTCTATTTATTTATCCTGTTGATTTGGGACATGTTATTTTTTTTTTAATTCACATTGAGCTGGTCCGAGTTGAAAATCATAATATAATGTGATTGAAATTCAGAGATTATTTTTACTATCAGCGCTTCTTGCTATTTTATTAATTGTTGTTTTCATTTGTTAGAAAATATTTGTTGCCATGAAATCGATTTCCTATTCCTTGTAACGTTGAAGTTTTGTAAGAAATCATAGTTATAACGCTTGCAAAGGAATAAAAAGAGGTTTCCTTTCCTTTTTCGTTAAATATAATCTCCATCAGAGGAGACAGTTTATGTGTGTTTTAGTATTAGTATTATTTGAGAAATACGCGTGTAAAAATGTCCGTTTCTTGCGCGTTCTCTCCTGATGAAGGACAGCTCGTAATTCCTCAGTCTTCTGTCTCGTGCATTTTGTCGCAGGTATTCCGGATTTTCGGAGTTTTTCAGATAAAAACTCGCGCTTGTTTTGTTATATGGCTTAAAAACACATAAATTGAGATGCTCTTAACGTACACGAGCCTTGTCGAATTTAATGCTTCAGATAGAAATTTAAGCATCAGCATGAGAAAATATTCTAGATCTTTAAATTAAAAAATAATATTTATTTTACTATTTCATATTAAAAAGATCCAACAGTAGCTCACGGAAGTACATTTTTTTTAAATGAATATAACACATGTGTGCTATAACACATCTTGAAACACCATTAATATTTCAGTGGAATTCAACTACTGTAATTAGTTTTGAACTAATGAAAATATACATATTTAAACAGCCAACTCTTTATGTTAACAACTACATTTCATACTTTATTATGTGCTCAAGGTATCCATGCTGTGTACTAATTTTCTATTAAATGTATATTTACAATAAAATATCCTGTATACATTTGCAGACTGGTTCCATATTTGACCAATATAATCACGAGACGGTCAAACACTTCAGCGAGCTACTGTTTGAAATTACAAATAACACGCAACACGTCCGGTACAAACACAAACTACTTACCGCACTTGAAGAAATTTACTCAACGAGCCTGTCCCGCCGATGAATATCAGACAATATTCGACAAAGAACGCGGAGATTAAATTCCACCGAGTGGGTATAATTATTATTCACGCGGCGGCATGTTCACCGCGGGTGGGAGCCAATTTGCCAGGAAGTTCGAACGCTTTGGAAACTTCGAAACGGTGTTCCTTCGGCGTGTGTTGACCCGTATGACCTGACTCTGTGACACATTGCGTAATGCAGCGCGGCAGTACATTGCGATGCATGAGGGGAGATGCAGAGCGGGTCGCCGCGGGTGAAACACCGCGCCGCCACCGATAAAGGAAGAGACGCCCGATTCTTCTCTGCGAATCGATTATTGGCGACCGCAGTCGATAATACGAAATTCCCGCTATTATTGCCACCTGTACGTGTCCCGTTCTTCTCCCGTAATATTAGACTTCTGTATGCATTGAATGCGTTTCTGTTCCTGATACGAGAACGATACCCACTGGGGAATGATAACTCTTTGAATTTATAGGAGCTTACGGTAATAGGAAGTTGTGTGGAAGCTTCGTGGAAAATTCAGATGAATCAGTGGACTAGTTAGAGCTAATATCTTTTATAGAATTGGTCATAAGCAGAAGATACGAATAGATAAATATTAATAATGCGTGAAGAGTGCAGATAATCTTGTCGAAGATTAAAAGAAAATTAGTAAATTTCTTGTCGAAACGCGAATGATCGATTAGGACCATTGATTCCCTAGTAAAATAAACTGTTTGTTGCTGCGTATTGCAAGTATAACTTTCCAGAATATCATCTGACTGTGAGTTTAACTATTTAGATATTGTTACCTTTTGTAAGAAAATATCTCTTGTAACGAAGGAAGTGTATGTATTTATGTAAGACGAAATTCTCTGAGTCTATCGGGTGTACACCGCACGTTTCTAAAGATAAAGAGAACATCAAAATTCTGTCCCCCCGTTTCGAAACCCCTTCGCATTGCTCACTTGGCTTCTCCCGAGTTAATTTGGGAAAATATTTCCCATCTTATCTATGGCTCGTCAGCCTCTTGCGACGCCTCTTTTCAATATTAAACGTGCAACGTTTTCCTCTCATCTGATCATGAATTTTAAAACCAATCTCCGCGGATTTCCTCTTTCGAGGAGGAGCCTTGTTCAAACCACCAGTGAATCCGCAAACCATTGTCCCTTCCTCGCATCAAATCGTACGAAATCTCTTCGGAGCCAAAATGCATTTGCTCCCATTTCCTTCGAAGATTACCGATTTTCGAATCAATCCACTCAGCCGCTTCTCTTCTTAAACGTTATTCCTGTTCGGCATCCTTTTTCTAGGATATTGTGTATCGAAATCTTGCCACGTTAGGCAACTTTCAGTTCGGACAATTGAATC